TTGGCAATGAGTTGCTGGGAACTCATTGTCAATTACGCGCAGCGGTTTGTGCCGCGCGAAACGCGAGTTAGGTGTAATTAACTCACTGCGTAGTGGCACGTCCGTTTCCGAACGCGTCTTGCTATGGACTTAATCCATCGATAAGTCATTATCGACATGCAAACGTTTAGTTAAAGTAGATCAATATTCCATTTGGGAACATTTTAGGTTATATGGGAATATTTAATGAAATTTTGAAGTTATTGTTTTGCGTTTACTCAAATATTACGAAAAGTGAATTTGCACACAAAAATGTAATTTGAGAGTATATAAAAAAGAGAAAACTTTGAAATATAAATCCTATACATTTTCAACCTCAAAATTCATATTTTCATGAAGAAATTTTTAAACAGATTCCAAATAGTGTAAGCTATTTTGTATGTATGTATTGGTATAGAATTAATATCAGTGACTGATTTAAGGAATCTTTAAAACTTTCATTTTATTTTGTAAATAAATGAATTTAGAAATATTATCAATAATAATATTATTATCATACGTTTATTTGCTTAAAACATGGTACAAAAGGAGCTATAACAAGAGACATTGTAAGTATAAACATGTTTCGCATATATTAAATAGCATGCAAATGTCTAATTATACAATGTCAATTGACTACTATTGGCTGAGCGCCTTTGATTTGTGCAAAAAATCAACACTTCTCCGAAGTGAGACAAGTAGTCACGAGCGACTGCGAGTTGTGACAAGCCACGTCAAACGAGCTCTATACACGTTAGCGCTCGCCTTCACTCGGTCAGCTAGGCGAGTGACACCGAACGATGGCAAGGCAAATAGGCTGTCTATACGTTTGTGATGGCCTTCACTCGGCAACGTTGGACCAACATGGTCATTGTATTGCTGGCTTTATAAAATAAGAATTTTTAGTAGTTAGAGTTGTCAGTGGGAAGAAATCGGTAACGAGTACATAATTTTATTTTCAGGAACTGAGAATGCCTAGTAAATGAGTCTTGTTTAAGCTAAATTAAATATAAAATTATTTACCAATAAACTTAATGATAGAATTGCATTATCATGTAATCTAGTTACATTCAAAATTATGTTAAAATTTGACTCTTCAAAATGAAGCGAATAAATGAAGATGGTCTTTGATTAAATGTTTATATTCGGCACTATTATGCGGCGGTATGATTTCTAACCATTATTTTTTCTTTTTTGATTTGTAGGTAAACTTGAAATAGTAAAAAAAGAATAAAATAATAAAAACCTCGTAGTGAATTATTTTAATAACAGGATATCGATAATATATACGCTTCCAAGAACAACACTACCTCAAAGTAATCGTTAACAACAATCATCAAAATATACAAGCAAATAGGCAATCTGAAGAAACCAAAGCAAAATTTGGCAAGACTTATGAGTAAACTACTTAAATATGTCTAATTACATGAGATATTTGGGCCTTTGTGTGGATTATAGACAGAAAAATAACACGTGCCTGTACAGTGTTACATTCGACCGATCTTCGCTTTTACAAATGCCACATCCCGTAATGCTGCAGCGACGAATTTTCATTAATACTTAATTGTTCTCACTGTCAATATTTTTGTCTATTTTATTACAATACATGCGAATAATTCCACAAAACACTTGGAAAAACATTTGTTTTGACATTTGATGTACTTCCCTTTGACAACCGTATCATGTACCTCATGTACTGCAAAATGGACACAGTTGGCATTTAAGATGTCGTTACGTATTTTCCATTCCCGAATTTGACACAAATCAATGTAATGCTATCTCTTTGGGCATAAGACGGCACGCAATAGTTAAACAAAGACAATAACATGTTTATGTTTTCAACGTTAAAATGCATCATAATAACGTCTGATTTATATATGTCAACATGACATGTCCTTTAGTTTCCATAGTCTAAGTGTTATATTGACTTAGATAAATCAGACGGAATGTTTAAGATGCATTTAGACCACAAACATAATTTAAACGTTGAAAAAAATAGGAAATAGGATGGAAAAAAATATGGAAACAGACATTTTATTGTCTTTGTTTAACTACTGCGTATCGTCGTACCCCTAAAGAGATAGCTTTACATTGATTTGTGTCAAACACGGGAATCGAAAATACATCAACGTCATCTTAAATGCCAACTGTCCTCAGTTTGTCATTTTTGTAGTACCCTTTGATAACCGTTTCCGGTTGTCAAAGTAGTACATCAAATGTCAAAACCAATGTTTGCCCAAATGTTTTAGTGAATTATTCGCATGAATTCTAATGAAATTGACAAAAATATTGACAGTAAGAACAATTGAGTATTGACAAAAATGCGTCGCTGCAGCGTTAAGGGGTGTGGCAGTAGAAAAAGCGGAAATCAACCGAATGTTACATTACACCGGCATGTGTTATTATTCTGTCTATAAATCATACAATAGCCCAAATATCTCATGTAACTAATTAGACTAATTTAGGTAGTCTATTTATAGGTCTTGACGAATTTTGCTTTGGTTACTTTAGATTGCCTGCTTGTTAGTATAATTTGATGATTGTTGATAATGATTATTTTGAAATAGTGTTGTTCTTGTAAGCAGACATATTATCGATATTATGTTATTGAAACAATTCACTACGAGGCTTTTATTATTCCATTATTATTATTTTTAAAGTTTACCTACAAATGAAAAAAGAAAGAAAGAATGGTTGGAAATTATAGGCCTACCGAACATAAACATTGGATCAAATACTATCTTCGTTTGTTCGCTCCATTTAAATTTAAATAGAACTTTGAATGTAACAAGATTACATGATAATGCAATTCCACCGTTACATTTATTGGTAAATAACTTTATATTTAATTTTGATTAAAATGGCTAATTACTTGCCTAGTAATAATAGCCTAGTATTAATCATACTTTGATTACAGTTAACTACACAAATTTGCAAACATAAAACACAGTAACAACAATTTCAACATTCAAGCCATACATTTGCATATCGATATTAACTTATCTATAATTATGGTACAACACTAAATCCGCCATTTGTGGTGTACATTTTTGGCTTAGGTAGGGTTTATTCCGTAGATATGGCAGCTCTTTTCCTTTATTTTTATCTATCCTCTAAGAAGATGACAATTTTTTTTTACAAGTCAAAGAAAAAAGCAACAAACTGACACAGTCTAAGGGCCGCCATAAAGAAAATAATAATAACAAATAACATGACAAATTGTCGTTTTCAAAATTTAGATTTTCTGCATTTGGCAGTATTTTTTCTATGGTTTTCAAGCTGTTTTTGTGAAAGCTATAACACTACTGATGACCAAGGTAAATCTGTACTGACGTGGACAGACCCAAACGATACAGAGATAGTATTCCGAATTGTTAACGGAATACCAGCTCAACTTGGCGATATACCATATCAAGTGAGAAATACTATGTGCTTTTTATATAACAGTAGAAAGGTCCGGTCAAATACGCTGAAAAAATTTCGACCCTTTTTGTTTTTGGAATGTCTGTAAAAGTTTTAATTTATAGTTTGATTAACCACTTCTTCAAGATATATGAGGTAGGGTCTCATTCTCAATATAGTTGTGGTCCAATGAATAACTGTTAGGAGCTATTATCTTGAAAACATTAACACAAGTTTATTAAATTAAATACGTATTAAATATTAGACCAACGTCACATACTGTAAGCAGAAGAGCTCCTTGTGAAAGAGTTCGTCCAGGGAAGTACTGCCACCTTACCTATTTCTACCGCCAAGCAGTAATGTTAGCATTACTGTGTTCCGGTTTTGAACGGTAAGGGTGCTGGTGAAATTACAAGCACATGGGACTTGTCAACTTATGTCTCAGGGTGACGGGCGCAGTGGCAGTGCCCCTCAGAACCCTCAGATCTTTGCGATTTGAAGCTCTTGAGTGGCACTGCACCTGTTATGGACAAGCGTCTAGCTTACCATCAGGCGCACGACTTGTTCGTCCCGTCACTTGATATTATCAAAAAAAGTTGCTTCGATACCAAAGTAAGTAATTTGTGTTATGGAAATCTGAAACAACGGCGGTACTACATACACCTAGCCAGAGACAATATAGAAGAGTTAGTTCTTTGACATGGAACTCAAGATAGCTGCACTTGATCACGGAGGTTGTCAATGTATGTTTTTCAAATTTTTTTGTCAAGGTTTTTCTTTTAAGGATCGATACTACCTCAGCTCGAATTAACTTTTTTCTGATACGGTTAATTTTGCTTAGGTCGAGTGGCAGGGGCACTGGCTTTATTTCAGAATTTGTTTTTTACAAACGAAATAAAAGCCATTTCAATAATGTATATCGTATAGTATACGTGTCATAGTTAGTTCAGTTGATATAAAATAAACATTGGTATATGTAAAATACCTATTGAATATAGTGGTTTTTCTTGCAAAATTTCGAAGTAAGTGTGTGTTTTTTTCTATCGTGAAAATTTGTAGGAATCGTCTTTCCACACCATATAGTAATGAGTGTATATTCTCAATTTTACTATTTATGTTTTCCAAAGTGATTGATTCAACACTTTCACTGTTATGCGGAATCAACCAAAACCTTTTGAGGTAGTATAGACTCTTAATTGATGCAAATGCGTCTTGAAGCTAGCCGTCTGCAGCTCATTGTTAGTACACCTGACTGTTACTGACTGAGCAATAGCTCAGTTAGCAATAGTAATAACTAATTATTATTTATATTTATTAATAATAAACTACCATCTGACTTAAGGAACAAGTTTACTCCCAGTAGTTCCATGTACTCAGTTCCACATGGAAATATTGAAACCCAAAAGTTCCATAAGGAACATTAAGCATATTGTGACATTTAAAAGAAATTTATTTGAATACCTTGTAAATTAAACATTTTGCTCTATAGATGAATATTTAAATTGTAGTTAGTGATTTGATATTTTTAATTGATTGTTTTAATCAAAACATTTGTAGTTTACAGATTAAAATTGTTTATTTTATTAATTATTGTAATTCGAATAGTGATTTCAGACATATTTGCTAAGAACTTTATAAATTGTATTTGATTCTTGTTTACCTTATACTCATTTACTTATTTAATTCGTATGCCTTAAGGTGCAGCATGCGGTCACTACAATTTTATTTATCACCATGTATTTCAATGTATCTATCTAAGTCTAACCTATGTTGACGAGTAGAGGTTGAAAAAGGGAAATGAAGAACCTGAAATACGGTTATGACAAATTATTCTGTTATGTATATATTATTAAATTATTCTGTTATTATGGCTATTGCTACTATTCATTTACATTTTATTGGTTTAAGGTTGCATTTCGAGCCAATCAAAAAGATAATAATTACTATACTTTTTGTGGCGGCAGTATCATTACCGAAAGTAAATTGATCTCAGCAGCGCACTGCTTTCATAGTACACAAATGTTAGGTTGTTGTAAACAAGGGTACGTCATACATATCATACACTTCCGGGCACATAGTTCGAATCACTTTGCATTTTGCTATACCCAAAGTTTAAAAATTGTTCGGTTGATCAAAAAATATTAATGCAATTTTGAAGCTGGTATACTAAATGTCACTTTCACATGTCCTTATTGAAAATTTTAATTTTTTAAATCGGGGAAAATTTACATCTAGCCCATTGACTTACATTGAAAAATAACAATGCAAGGTCGCTCGAATTGTGTGTCCGGAAGTGTATATTTCAATTTACCATATTTCATACAATTACTATGTACGTAAAATTACAAATATACGGGGTGGAATCTTAAGTGTGTACAGGCGTATATGTCATAAATATAACATATATCAAAAACCTTTAAACAGATATCGAAAGAACTTTATCTAATAAGCAAAATTATATTTTTGAAAATAAAACTAAAAATAACCAAAATTGTAACGTTAAACGCTGCCATCCCACACATTTAATATGACATTCGTACTGAGCTAAACCACGAATTTTTGTCATCCAAATACGCAGAAGCTATATCCTAGAACCTATTAACATTCTATTAAAACTTTCTATTAAATAGAAAGTTTTAATGGTAATGTTAATTTTTTTTTAACCCTTCTTTAAAAAACCCTTTGGGGCGCGGATAGTATATTGCCCTAATTGGACATTTTTGCAGGAGAAAGATGCTATAAATGTCGGTAGCATTACCCGAAAGCATTAAACTGTATTTTTCTGTGTGTATTACATTTATGAACCGATTTCGATGCTTCTTTTTTGTTGGAAAGAGGGTACCTCAGTATTGATCTCATTTAAATTTGAAGAAAATATTCTACTTCTAAGTGTGGCAAACTAGGTGATGAATGCCGTTTCGCGTACTTTTCGGTAGCCGATTTCAACAAAACTTGGCAAATATAAGTAATTCTACGAACTTTTGAGGTTGTTTTTTTTTATAAAAAAGTTATTATGACCTTCACGTGATAAAAGCACTTTTGATCCCGTGCAAACACACGTGTCTGTTAGCAATTTATTAACAAGCTGGTCATGATCACGGTTATTCATTAAAATGTAGAGATCTAATACATAGTCTATGTCAATTTACAGACGATCTCGTCACAAATATTTAGCAAAATATTTCGCCGTAGCAGGAACTCTTCTAAACCAGGACAGCTATCAAAGAAAAGATAGTGAAAGACACGGTCAATGGAGGAAACTCAGTGCTGCTTTTTATCCAAAACAATTTGTTTTCCCAAATTATGACATCGCTGTTGTGGTAAGGACCTTTTAATATTTTAGTCCCGTATTGATATAGCAAGATACTTTGTATCACTTTGGTTTTATCATTTACCAATCTGTAAAAGGATCCCAAGTCCGCTAATTTTAATTCATCTCAGTTATGCGTCGATAGAGTGTCAATTGCAAGTTTGGTATTCTACTAAAAGTTAAGAGTAGATATTTTTCAGTAGCTAGCCACCGTGCTACTATAGGACTACCATTGCATTTTTTTGGTATTCTGCTCTGCAAATCGATGGCGTAGTCTTCTAAATAGGTATTTGACATAAAAAAATAAATCCATATCTAATTTGAAGACTAAATTGCTGAGAGAACGAAATAAAAATTGAAATAGGCGTAGTTATTTCCATGCTAGTTTTAGTAAGACAACATCAATAGTTAGTGATTGATTGAATGAATGCCATCACTGCCATTCGACTGAGACTGTTATATGACACTGTTGACACTCAACTGCCATTGCAACTAAATTTTAGCAGAATAGCAAAATCTTAATTGCGATGCAATATAATGTCAGTGGAGTCTCAATGGAATTATAATAAAAAAATACACAGGACTAGTGGGAGCGAAACTTTTCAGTAGTTCTGTGACGAAAAGTGTCTATTTATCAACAGAACAAATGGGAAGAAAAGTACCAGTAGTTCTGTCAACAGAACTATATGGACAGACACCGACGTGGGTCTACAGGTGTTCCAATTTCTTTTTTCAGGCTTAGTGAACTAACCTACTTAGGTACTTATTTATTGGAATTAAAAAGTCTCTGCGAAAGATTACAATAAATATTGTAGTTACAAACAAAACATGATGAAAACATTTCAACGAAATTAAAAATAAAGCGCGACGTGTAGTAAAAAGGCAGGACTTTAATAGTGGATAGTAACTCTTTAGTTCTTTACTCGAGAAATTGTATCTCTTGGTAACGGGCGTCTTAGTGCTACTCAACCTAATGCACTAAATAGTTCTTATTCCCATATACACTCATTTGTACTATATGCACTCTGTGAGGAAGTGCACAGTATGCTCATGGGGCTCAAAAGTAACAGCGCCCCCGGCTGGGATAACATTCCTACAAAATTGCTTAAACTTGCTCACCGTGAGGTGGTGCCGATTATAACCGATTTGGCAAATCTATGCTTTAAAACTGGTGTTTACCCATTGCCTTTGAAAGAAGCCGTTATTACACCAGTTTTCAAGGGTGAAGATGAGAGCATTGTGGGAAATTATAGGCCCATTTCAGTACTTCCTGCTATCTCTAAAACAATTGAAAAGTTGGTCAGTAATAGATTACACAATTACTTAGAGAAATATAAAATCTTGTCGAAGTCGCAGTTTGGATTTAGACGTGATATCTCGACTGAGGATGCGGTGATGGCACTTAATACACTAATTGCTGATCAACTTGACGCTGGGAACAAGTGCATCACTGTATTCCTGGACCTTAAGAAGACCTTTGATACTCTCAATCCCCATTCTTGTCCTAAATCTGGAAAAAAATTGTCATTCGCGGTCCACCTCTCGAACTGCTTTCAAACTATTTAATAAACCGTAACCGTGGATTGCGGTGTTCCCCAGGGAAGTGTCTTGTGTCCTACATTGTTCCTGATATATATTAACGGTTTATGCGACCTAGAGTTGCGAAATGGACAGATTTTTTCGTATGCTGATGACACTGCTTTGGTTTTTAGAGACATCTTATGGGATGATGTCCGGATATCTGCGGAAGAGGGTCTTGCAAGGGTTGCCAATTGGCTAAATACACATCTTCTTACTTAAAATGTGAGCAAGACCAACTACATTTGTTTTACTCTGTATAATAATTTACAGACATCTGATAACTTTGCCTTGAGGATCCATGAGTGCCCGACCCGTGGTGCTTCCATTTGAGCTGCTGGGTTATAGACAAAGTGCCGTCAACTAAGTATTTAGGTGTTATAGTTGACCAGCGGCTATCATGACACGCTCAGATTGAGGGTGTGATTAGTAGGGTGAGGAAACTGATATGGATTTTCAGAATACTCGGGAACATTGCACCCAATACGCTCCTAAGATCCAGATATCTAGCGCTTGTACAGTCTGCACTGATATATTGTATACCAGCTTGGGGTTGATCTATTGAGACGAAGTTTATACAGTTAGAGAGAGATCAGCGTTCTATCCTGAGAGTAATATTTAAAAAACCTTGTAGATTTCCCACTGAGCTACTGTACTCCATTGGCGACGTAATGACGGTACTAAAATTATATATTCTTCAGGTTGTTCTTAGAACGCACAAGAATATAGGCTTTAATGCAGCTTTTCTTCAGAAAAGAAGAAAATACAACGTTGCTCCCGTACATATAATTAAGACAACTTTTGCGTCTCAAGAATTGAAAAAACAATCCACTCATAATAATCAAATTAATAAACTGCTACATGTATTATTATGTATTCGCTACGTGCCTATGAGTGTCGTACTGAGACAACTAAATGGTTAAAATCTAAAAATTATAAT